GACGGGGGGGAGACGAATTGTTAAATAAAGTTTTTTTTTTTTTTTTTTTGCACACAAAAAGTATTCTCATAGCTTCGTACAATTATGGTTGAACCCCTGATGTCACATGGGTTATTTTACAGATCTCCTTGCTACGTTTCTGGACTTGGGAACATTTCAGTTGTATTGCTGTCTATGCAGGGTCAGACAGCTCTCAGATTCCATCAAAAATATCTTAAAGGTAACATAGCATAAAAAATCAGACTTTTCCAGATTTTAAGTGCTATAATCAGGTCCCCAGTGCATCTACCAACCAAGGAAACGTGAAAAAGATTAACCCAGTAACTTTGTTTTGGTAAGCCTTTTTCTGCAAGCCTCTGAAAAAACGAGCGCGTCTGATTTCGCTCCCTTGGTGACGTTGCAAAGGGATCTCATTATAATATTACCGCCCCTTAATCTGTAAGTTTACACCCACAGCGCTGTTATTGTGTTTTCGCAAGCGACAACGGTGTACTAGTTCTAATGCCATGGCGAAAGTTTGAGCAAAACATCCTAACTGTTCTGTCTTTGGCTGCACAGACGAGCACAGAACACTGTTTAGAGTCCCAGCCTCAGTGGAGACAAGAGAGCAGTGGATTTATTGATTTAGTTAATGTATATTGCTGCTGCGCCACAGATCTAAAATAAACACGTGATTTATTTCCCAGCTGTTTACCTTCACAGACATAACCGACTGTTTTTGTAACTCGTGTGTTTTTAACGTAAACTTGCGTGTGAATGAGAACTTAGATTAGTACTCACATGCTGTGACAGCCGCTTTCTGTCCGTGTGCTTTGGATGTGTACTCTCAGAAAACCGTATTATCAGAAGTTTAAACTCATATGGTTTAAAACGCATGATTTCAGCGCGATAAACACGATAATCAGAACCAAAACAGATGTTTTTAGCAGGTACGAGCTGTAATGGCGCAGCCCTATTCTGGAAAAGGGGGCAGGGAGCAGCAGCTCATTTGCATTTAAAGAGACAGGCACGAAAAACAGCGTGTTTCTGCTTCCACTCAAAATAGGCATTTTCAAAATGATATAATAAATGATCTGTGGGGTATTTTGAGCTGAAACTTCACAGACACATTCTGGGGACACCAGAGACTTATATTACATATTGTAAAAAGGGGCATAATTTAATTTGTGTTCCGAAGATGAACGAAGGCCTTACGGGTTTGAAACGACATGAGGGTGAGTAATTAATGACAGAATTTTCATTTTTGGGTGAACTAACACTTTAAAAGGGACTTTGCTACAGGGTAGGGGTTTCAAATTACAACACAACCAAAATTCTTACAGACTTCACAAAAACATTTAAATTTAAAACTTACCTTCTACATTTTCCCTTTTTGAAGAGCTTATGAGTTTCTTCAAGTTTACTTTTTGTGTCTGTAAAAAAGTGTTGTACTGTATTACAAATCAATTTTATATGTGCTATTCAGAACTGCTTAAAAATACCTTTGGGCTCAAATCTAACTCGTCGTCATCATCTGATGAAGGCCAGGAATCAGCAGCACCACTTTTTGATGCCCTGCAAATGAACACAATTTCGTGCTAGATAAAATGATAATTTGTAACTGCTTTTATCACCCATTTGTTTTTTGACATATCAATGCCATCTTACCTGCTAATGGAGTCTGTGTGAGAATTGTCTTCTGTATCTGAGGAAAGAAATATAAAGGATTATCTGCGCTTAAAACAAGATAGAGCATAGCCAAGAAATAATCCATTGCTAATACAAACATTTTCTTGCCATATAGTTAACTAGAAATCTAAAGACCCGTTCCCAATTGGGCTGAATATTAATTTGTGGTCAAACGATGCATTCCAACAGACCTATTCATTTTTTTTCTAATTTGTTTGACAGAATGGGTTAAGACCAATAAGCATTTGGGTCAAGTATCTAAAACCGATTACACATTTTACATAGATGCTGAGAAAAAAGCAGTTTGACCGCAAACATTTTCTGTTAAAGTGGGACCATGTTTAATGTATATCCCCACAACATCTGTATAGCTATTACAGTACACTTCTATTATAGCATATATTTCTATATCACAGCATTAAAGAGTAAGCGAAAATAGTCTTAAAAATACATTGAAGTACATTACATAAGTAAAACATTAATTTTACATTAAATGGAGTGAAATCGACATTGTCTGCTGAGCTGTAGGCCCTTTTTTGCTTTAAATGGTTCAAGACTGGATTTTTTTCACCTAGTCTCATTTATTAACTTCATTCTTGGTGCGAGTAGGTCTTTAATCTAGCATGTAAGCATACAACGCACAAAAAAGAACAGCAAGAGACACCATGGTTTACCATTCAGCAACACTAAATGATCTCACATTACTCTTAATATTGTGTCTTAAAGCAATAGTTCACCCAAAAATGAAAATTTGCTTAAAATTTACTCCCCCTCAGGCCATCCAAGATGTAGATGAGTTTGTTTCCTCATCAGAACAGATTTAGAGAAAATAATGTGGTGTTTTTATCAGCTGTTTGGACTCTCATTCTGACGGCACCCATTCACTGCAGGGGATTCATTGCTGAGCAAGTGATGTAATCTTAAATTTCTTCAGATCTGTTCTGATGAAGAACAAACTCATCTAGGCCTATATCTTGGATGGCCTGAGGATGAGTACATTTTCAGAAAATTCTAATTTTTGGGTGAACTATTCCTTTAATCTCTGAAATGGCAAAGAATAATGTGTCTGATCTACAGCACATTGGTTGGCACACATTGGCAATACCTTTCCCTGCTCCTGCGGAGCTGCTTCCTGCTGCTACAACAGATGAGTGTGGAGTAACAGTGGGGAAACAGAACCGAATCAAAACACTGCAGTCAACACTGCAGCAATACTGACACACACATACAAATGACACTGAAATCCTTCAATTATGCAAATCAAGTTAAACACAATTAGACTCACCATCTTTATCCAGAGCTGGTCCTCCCAAAGCCAAACCGGCCCCAATACCACCGGGGCTGCCGAGCATGGACGTCCGTTTCTTTTTGCTGGCAGTGAAATGGGAAGGTGACTGAAGGGATCTTCTCTTCGTCCCATGCTCGATAATCAGATGTGAACATCTGGAACAGAACGATTATTGATATGAGCTCCTACAGGCAAACACTTCAAACAAAGCTTTCTGTTTTCACAACATCTGCAGTTCATTTCCATTAATGAAACATTGCCAATGTGAAAATATCGCTATCAGCATTTCAAATGTTCCTAACTTTCAATGCTTTAAAATAAGTAATTGCAACACAATTTGCCAACATTCATTGTGAAACTAACATACAAACAAAGTAAGGACTATTTAAAATCAAATGGTGAGTTTGAAATATAAGCAGGCAAAAGAAGAAAGTCCTTACGCGTGGTGTCCATTCATGACTGCATAATCATCAGAAGACCATCCCTTATCATCTTTCACTGTGATGTCGGCATCGTACTGCAGAAGCAAACGCACCATGCTGATTTGTCCGTTGCACGCAGCTATCATCAACGCAGACCTTAACAATGACAGACAGAATGTGAATCAATGTTGTTATCGTTAACTAAGAAAATACTAGAAGACATTTATGTACATAATAATATAAATTTTACTTCAGTTAGTTGCGAAGACAACATTTTTAATTTCCATTTTGTTTTAAGTACTTAATGAAATATTAATAAAAACTATACAAACCAATATAATAAATGTTCTATAAAAAATAAAGCAAAAAAACAATATAACAATAACAAAATTTAAAAATGACTCAAAATGGCTAAAAACTAAAACTGAAATAAAAATATATAAAAACCTAATAATTTTTTTTTTTTTAAACAACAATACAACAATGACAACAAAATAACAAACTAATAAAAATAACTAAAATGCACAATAAATTACTCAAATGACAATAAAAAACTAAATTAAATCAATTTCAAAATATTAATAATGATTTCTTTGGCTTACAAATCAATTGTTGTTTATTTATCCATTTGTTTATCAGTCCTATTATTCCTGTTTATTTATTAAGTTTGTTGAAAAGAAAATTAATAGAGCACAATTTCATAGCATTTCTCCGTTATATCTTCCTAAACGCACACTAGAACAATACCTAACAATACCAAGATGACTACAGAACTTTCACTTTTGGATTAACTAATCCATTAAAGTGCGTCTTTCTAACCGTTGCTCCTGATTCTTGACATTAACATCCGCTCCCTCTTTCAGTAAAAGCTCAGTCATGTCTGCATGGTTTTCCATCACAGCCAGCATCAGTGGAGTGGTGCCATCCTGTCAATCAAACCACAACAAAACAAGATTGGACTGCATTAACTATCTTACCTTTCAATGTGCAAGACAATCGCTTTTGTATTTATAAGTGCATCCTTCTAGCTCAACCAATGGTATGAGTAAGCACTTTAGTGTATATTATGCAGTACTCACTAAGTAGAAAGTTAGTAGTCCATTATTTCTGCAATTTGGCACTGCAGAAATTAAACACTTCATCTTAATGTATCAGACAGCCGCTGTGTGTGGTTAATACTGTGATAATCTGAAGTCGGACAGTATAATTTCACCTTGTTCTGTGCGTTGATGTTGGCTGAGTGCTCCAGGAGCTGCAGCACCACAGGAAGGGAGGGGATACGGGCGGCCAGGTGCAGTGCCGTGTTTCCACTGATGTCCACCAGGTTGGGGTCAGCCTCATGTTCCAGGAGCAAAGAGATGGAGCGGTCTTGTTCACACTGAACCGCCTACCAGACATGCATAACAACAAAGACATACCAGTCAGCAAGTATTTATATGTATATGATTTCACAAGAACAAACTGAATGTACCTTCATTAAGGCGGAGCGGTTCTGATTGTCGCATAAGTTCAGCTTCACTTTGCTCTCCACTAAGAACTGAACCACATCTGTGTGTTCGCAGGCACAAGCGATGTGCAGTGCAGTCCTGCGGGTCCAATCACAGAGGATAAATTAGAGCATTACTGAAGATACAAACAGTTTAAAACAACAGCAAATACATTTTGGTGTTGTTTTGTTTTTTAAAGAAACCAATACTTTTATTCAGCAAGGTAAAGACATTTATAGTGTTACAAAAGATTTCTATTTCAAATAAATGCTGTTCTTTTGAACTTCCTATTCATCAAAAAATCCTGAAAAAAGTATCATGGTTTCCACAAAAATATGCAAGCAGCACAGCTGTTACATTGATAATAATAAGAAATGTTTTTGAGCAGCAAATCAGCATATTATATTGCGGATTCGAGTCTCGTACCGGCAGGGATTGTAGGTGGGAGGAGTGAAAGTACAGTTCTCTCTTCCACCTTCAATACCACGAGCAAGGCACCGAACCCCCAACTGCTCCCCGGGCGCCGCAGCATAAATGGCTGCCCACTGCTCCAGGTGTGTGTTCACGGTGTGTGTGTGTGTGCACTTAGGATGGGTTAAATGCAGAGCACTAATTCCGAGTATGGGTAACCATACTTGGCCACATGTCACGTCACTTTCGTCACTTTTTCACTTTCATATTAGAATGATCTCTGAAGGATCATGTGACACTAAAGACTGGAGTAATGATGCTGAAAATTCAACTTTGATCACAGGAATAAATTAAATTTTTAAATATATTAAAATAGAAAACAGATATTTTAAATTGTAATAACATTTCATAATATAACTGTTTTTGGTTGGTGAGCAGAAGAGACTTCTTTCAAAAACATATATTAACATAAACATAAAACAAAATATTACAGACCCCAAACTTTTAAACAGTAGTGTATGAATGTTTCTTCTGAAAACACGGTGAAATAAATCTTGGGATTTAAGCTGCCAGGACTGCAAATATGATTATGCATCAACAAATGCTACCATTAAATGATTCTTCATGCATCATAATGTGAACAAGAAATCAAAATGGGCCACTTTTACACTATTAATAGTATTCCTGTGGCTCAGTGGTAGAGCACTGCATTAGCAGCGCAAAAGGTCGTGGGTTCAATTCCCAGGGAACACACATACTGGTAAAAAATGTATAGCCTGAATGCACTGTAAGTCGCTTTGGATAAAAGCGTCTGATAAATGCATAAATTAATTAAATTAATAATAATTTTTGTATTTTTAGGTTATTCCAAAGAAACATGTTGTTAACCAAACACCTATTTAGGCATTGATTTAGCAAACTGGCGTTAGGGCTAGCTGTATTTTAGAACAAAACACCCATTTTTTTTTTACAATCCCATCAATTCTCACATTTTCATGTTGAACATGGAAATAGTTATTTTATAGATGTATTAATTCCAGCTTGTTGAAAATTTTGATTTTGTAAAGAAAAAATATTTTAATGAAAAATTACTTTTACTTAAAACTGATACAAAAATTAAAATAGGTTAATTCTTTGTAGTGGAGCCAATTAAAAATCTAAAACAAATTCAGACCAAATTCATATTGCACACTTTTGTTTTGCAAACAATAATAATAATTTTAAAGACCATTAAAGGTGTTCAAATATGATGTTGCTAAAAAGAACATTATTTTGTGTATTTGGTGTAATGAAATGTGTTTATGCGGTTTAAGGTTCAAAAAAACATTATTTTCCACATACTGTAGATTATTGTTTCTCCTCTATGCCCATTTCTAACAAATATAAAAAAGTATTTGCTAAAAAATAAATATAGCTCATTCTTTTGTAGTTGGGAAAATGACAATTTTAGCAGGGGAAGGTAAAAAAGCAATACAACTACTGGCCAGAAGGAGAAGTCTGACAGTGACAACTGGAGCTGCATTGCAGAAACTTTTTATCTTAAGTCTAAGGTTAAGATCTAACAAGGTTCAATCTGGCAAGTGGCAAGTTCAATCTTACATGTGAAAATCGCTGTCGGTGGTAAGATTCCGTATTTTCATTTTGCTTTGTCCACTACAAACAAGTTCATCAACAGTTACCTGTTTTCCTTATCCAGCTGGTTTAAATCATTCTTTTTGGCCAGCTGTCTGAGTTTGACCACATCTCCGCTGAACGCAGCCTTGTGGACCTTCCCGAGGTCTTTCTCCTTCACATCATAGCTGGCCGACAGCACGCTCCCCGTCTCGGAGGGGCTGGGGGAGCCCTTCTTCTTCTTGAAGTTGAATATTTTCTTCATGCTCTGTGACGGCACATCTCCAGCGGATTGTCCTTTACCTGAGCTTCAGGTTCTGATCACCTTGCATGTCTCGTCCATCCTCTAAAAATAAATCCTGCAAAGAGGATTAGAGTTATTTAATAATGACAGAAGCACAGGTCAGTCTGTCGTGTGCACGTTTAGTTTGCTGTGCTTATAAAACTTATGTTTGATCATGATTTATCCCAATAGACTGCACAGAGTTTATTACAAACCCCATATAAAAAGATACTGTGGTGAAAAACCATGGTACGGTGGCAGTATCAGATGGTAATATCATGGTATTTTATTCAAATAGCCTGATGTTTACAATGTACTCCAAGATACTTTAAAAACACCATGGCATTGTTTAAAAACCATGGTAAATCATTAGTTTTTATATTGAATAAGCTATAAACCAGTTAACTATACAATATATTGTATTATAATCAAATGCGACAAACAAAGCACATATAAACACAGTTGTTTAAAGAAAAAATTCATATATGTATATTGTTTAGAAAAGCTTATAATCTCAGTGATCAGATCACCTCATCGTGTTAATCTGCTAAATTAACAATGATAGTCAACCAAGCCACCTGGCGAGTTTACAAACTCACCTACATTGTCGTTTCAGTATGGGGCGTCTATTAGTTGTATTTTAAACGAAAAATAAAACACGAAAAGATTACAAATGATGCTCGTTATCGCGTAAGACACATCGGGTCTGCTCAAGCCGTTTACGACGCTAGCAAGCTAGCTGCTTCTGTTTCCATGGTAACAGTGTGAAGCTCGTATTTAATCCCAATAATTCATTCAAATTTGTTTGTACTACATACAAAGCGGTTGGGAAATTTCGAGAACTCTTATAAATACATTTTAAACCGTCAAGATGGTCTAGTTTTCTGTTTAATAAAAATGAACGAGCCTAATATCAAAGCACGGACCTCGTTACGTTTCGCTCTGTTTTCACACGGAATGTCGAACACGCCAACGTCACGGTGGAGGCGGGGACTTCGCCGCTCTCTTCCTGCATTGGACGGTTTGAATCAATGACAGGCATGCGTATCATCCAATGAGAGCACAGCTCGAAATGTTCTTGATTGTGATTGGCCAAATTCGCGTTGACAGACAGCAGTATTGTCTAATCGCATACACGGATTATATGGTCCCGCCCAGAATCGGCGGTTCGTAGCTCATTATTTGTCAGAGCAGAATTTTAAACTATTTAAACCGTTTTGAGCGGGTGGCAGAAAAACAAGCGACAGAGCCGAGGAAGACACAAAGTAGTTTGTAATGTCAAATTAGCATCTAATGTTTATTTACAAAATAGAAGCCAGGTTTATAACTTTGGATCATCAAGTCTTTGTTTTTGCGGTGCTATCGTGCATACAGGCTAAAGAGGTAGTTGCCGTTTTAAAATGTAATGTTACTATGCTGCTGATTAGCTTAGCTAGGTTGGCTAAGGATTCGTAATAAGGTCAGAAATAAACTCGCATGTTATTTTGAGTAAGTGTAATATTCGTATGTCATAAATGTAATATCTATTGGTTCATCTGCAACTGTGTTTGGACTGAGATCGGAATAAAGGTTTCATGTATAAAAGCCAAATTAGATTAAATGTGTTTATACGTGACTGAAGAAAACCGTGAGGAAAAAATGCGCTTGAAAGTTTGTCAGTCATAAATAGTTGGTACGCAGTAATCTAACTGCATCAAGTCGGTGAAGTGATTTCTATTGTCTTGGAAAAACGCCGTCTAAATTCTCGATGTCTTTGTTGTAAGATGACCGATGTAAAAATAAAGCGATTTCCAGTGCTAGATCTGGATGCCAGTGAAATGCATGTGTGTATATAAACGAGTGTGGGTCTTTTGCTCTTTGTGGTCAAGTTTGCCACGAAAAAGCAAATGCATGATTTTCCATTTTCCCTGAAACGCCTTGTGTATCTAAACGAGTGTGTTTTCAAAATGACAGCTTGAGAATAGTGCCCAGTGGAGTCCTAAAGTAAAGTTTGTGAGCATTTGCATGCAAATTGATTTTATCCCCCAAAATGCCACTGTTTTACACTTCACAGATTGGCTTTATTCGTCCAAAACCAAGACCTTTCATTGTGTATTTCCAGGGGCCACCATGAGTTCCTTGCCGGAGACCACGCGCTCCCTCATGGAGGTTTTTAATGGGAAACTGCAGGATTTTACAGATGAAATTGCCAATGTCCACATGGTGTGGCTGGAGGAGATCCAGCAGGAAGCTTATCGCATGTTTTCCAGGTGAGAGACACTGTAAATGTGAGGTGGAGGATGTGATACACTTCACACTGTTATATTCTGTCACTAGTTGCTTGTCACTTTGTGTATATGTGAGAATCTCTGTTACTTTTCAGGTTATTATCCTCTAACATGTTCTGTCTGCCAAAAGCCTTTATCCATGAAGAATGTTTTATTAGATTGTGCTGGTTTTAACCTTGAGAACTTTTATTTTTTTATTATTCAGTTAAGTCTTTAAGCGCTTTATTTTTTTTAATTTTTTTTAAGTGATGTGACATGTGGCCAAGTATGGTGACCCCATACTCGGAATTAGTGCTCTGCATTTATCCCATCCAAAGTGCACACACACAGCAGTGAACACACACACCGTGAACACACACACGGAGCAGTGGGCAACCATTTATGCTGCGGCGCCCGGGGAGCAGTTGGGGGTTCGGGGCCTTGCTCAAGGGCACCCCAGTTGTGGTATTGAAGGTGGGAGAGAGTGCTGTACATTCACTCCCCCCACCGACAACCCCTGCAGGTAGGAGACTCGAACCCACAACCTTTGGGTTACGAGTCCGACTCCCTAACCATTAGGCCGTGACTTTTTTTTTTAACAAAGTTAAGCCAAATACAGTTTGAGTTTTCATCGAAAAAATTTTTGTAAATGCCTGATAATTCGGCAATAAATATTTCTTGCCATAAAAATAGCCGCAGAACCTGGCATGGCGTTAAACGCAAACTATTCAGGTTATTAGACATGCTCATAAAAAAACATGTTTTGTTGTGCTGCAGTGACTTCAGCACCGAGCCAGAACTCATGCCAAAGACTCCGTCACAGAAAAAGACAAACCGCAGGAAGCGAGTGTCGATGGAGCTCAATGAGTCTCGCAGCAAAAGACGGTAAGGGTTTTAAGTCTTTGTTAACTTGCTTGGTACAGAAACATTTTACAGGTCTACAGCAACATCTGTTGATATTCATGTTTTATTAGACTGAGTTATGTTTTGTTTAGTTTTCTGCAATCTTGATGGTTTTTGACAGGTATCCTGTGCTCCTGTAGGGTGTTTTGTTTTATTAATTTATTTAAAAAATCTTCCTGATAAATTGTCATTTTAAACCACTATAGGTTTCCTGTGTCTGTTTGTAGTGCTGCACAATTTGGACCAAAATTGTGATTTATTAAATATCAATTTGACTATAAAAATAAAAACTATGTATTTATGTACACTGAACAAAATTATAAACGCAACACTTTTGTTTTTGCCCCCATTTGTCATGAGCTGAACTCAAAAATCTAAGACTTTTTCTATGTACACACAAGGCCTATTTCTCTCAAATATTGTTCACAAATCGGTGTTAGTGAGCACTTCTCCTTTGCTGAGATAATCCATCCACCTCACAGGTGTGGCATATCAAGATGCTGATTAGACAGCATGATTATTGCACAAGTGTGCCTTAGGCTGGCCACAATAAAAGGCCACTCTAAAATGTGCAGTTTTACTGTATTGGGGGGGGGTCCGAAAACCAGTCAGTATCTGGTGTGACCACCATTTGCCTCACGCAGTGCAACACATCTCCTTCGCATAGAGTTGATCAGGTTGTTGGTTGTGGCCTGTGGAAAGTTGGTCCACTCCTCTTCAATGGCTGTGCGAAGTTGCTGGATATTGGCAGGAACTGGAACACGCTGTCGTATACGAATATGGGGTGCTGTGTGTACATTAATGAGGAAAAAAATAACAAATGATTTTAGCAAATGGCTGCAATATAACAAAGAGTGAAAAATTTAAGGGGGTCTGAATACTTTCCGTACCCACTTCTTTTGAATACTTTCCGTACCCCAGGGCCTAAAACGAACTTTTTGCCACACCTGCCAATGGCCGGTGACATGATCAAATATACCGGCCAAAAGTTTACTTTTTTATTTATTTTATTTTATTTGTATTTTTTTTTTACCGGCTATGAAACACTCTTAGCAAAAACAGGCAGTTATTACTACTACAATGACTAAATATATTTACAATATTTTTAATTTGTCCTGCTGGTGCATTTTCCCTATTAATTATAGCTATTCAACATTTCAGTATAATTGAAAGCCATTATTTTTTTAAATTTTAATAGGCTCTGAAATATATAAAAACTTTTAATTTAAGTGACTTTAAAACAATCTTCACATAAAATATTATATATGCATAAACCATACACATTAATCTTTATTCAAGCTATAAAAGTTAATCAGCGACTAGAACAGTCCAAGGATTTCTTTTTCTTTTGTTCTTTGATTTACATCAACTGACAGACTTCAGCAGGTTTCACTTTAAAATCAGCGCTGTCTCTTTAAAACCTGATGCATATGACGTGGATCTGACATCCGATTTTCTCCCAACTCTTTACGGTCATTTAAAGGGGTCATATGATGCTTTTTTTTAAGGATCATTATTTAGTGTATTTGGTGTAACAGAATATGTTGACATGCTTTAATGTTCAAAAAACACTTTTTTTCAAATACTGTACATTATTGTAGATCCTCTATGCCCCGCCTCTCTCAAACGCTTCGTTTTCTACAAAGCCCCTCCTTCCAACAAGCACAGTCTGCTCTGAATGGCCAGCTGACCCAGTGCATTGTGATTGGCCGAACACCACAAGCACTCGTCGGAAATGTAAACGCCCAAAATAAAAAACGCCTGTCTTTCAAAATAAATGTAAAGACGGAGCCCGAAAGGGGAACAGAGTCGCGTGACAGACACAGTGATGAAGCTGGTATGTGTTTGCAGTACACAACACTCCAAAGAGAAAGGAAAACTTGAAATCGCATCATATGACCCCTTTAAGACTTTATAACTCAAGACCACGTTTACAAGGTAACTCACCATAACCGTGCATTTTGTTGACATAATTGTGTTTTCTCGTCCGTTGAAGCGCTACTGGTGAGTTGTCTGAAGCAGCTCAAGGTATGTGTACAGCCGAACACGCAGCCTTTCAAACTATACTTCACTGCACCGTTTAAGCGGCATAACCCCAGTGTCGCCGCATTCTCGGGTTATGAAGAATAAAGAAGGGAAAAGTTAATCT